CCTTTCTTTCTCTTTCCAACCTCAAGATCAAGAGTTCAGGCTTGGGGCGCCTGGGTGGCTCAGTCGGTTAAGCGGTTAAGCGTCTGCCTTCAGCTCAGGTCATGATACCAGAGTCCTGGGCTCTAGCCCCCTGTCAGGTTCCCTGCTCAGTGGGGAGGTCAGGTTCCCTGCTTGGTGGGGAGCCTGCTTCTCCCTCTTCCTCTGCCTGCCGCTCCGCCTGCTTGTGCTCTCTCTCTGTCAAATAAATAAATAAAATCTTAAAAAAGAAAAAAAAAAGGAGTTGCAGGCTCCACCAACTGAGCCAGCCAGGCTCAGTATTTTTCTAAATGGTGATTTTTGCCCCCCATAGAACAGTAAACTATTTGGAAAAATATATTAGAAAATTAAAAAGTAGGTATATTAAAACAGCATTCTTTTAGTTTTAAATATCCTATCTACATTAAAAACATAATTTATTATAATTTTACTCCCCTGGCTTGAATAGAAACAACCTCATCAAAAAATTTTTTCCTGCATCTACTCCTAGAAAAACAAAAATGAACCAATAAAAAATACACAGAACATGGCTATAGGGGCACACATTTACTTTTGCCTCGGGCCACAATATGGCAAGGCACGGTTCTGTTGGATCCTGTCTTTTTTTTTTTTAAGATTTTATTTATTTATTTGACAGAGAGAGAGAGAGCACAAGCAGGGAGAGCAGCAGGGGGAGAGGGAGAAGCAGGCTCCCCATCAAGCAGGGAGCCTGACGCAGGGCTCGATCCCAGGACCCTGGGACCATGACCTGAGCCGAAGTCAGACGCTTAACTGACCGAGCCACCCAGGAGCCCCTGTCGGATCTGTCTTTATTTAAAACATTGACACTTTGTTCATCATGGATTTTTTTTTTTTGCATTGATTTTGATTTTTAAAAAAATATGGCACTAAATATCACTTACCTGGATGACTGATTTTTTTGGCATCCCCTTAAATTTTGCATCTGAGGTGATAGTCCCAGGCTAAGCAGTAATGTTTTGTTTGGGTAAAGTGGTGGGCTCTAGATCTCCCTCACAGCTTGTATCTTTACCTCCAAGGGGCAGATTAACTCAGCTTTAGAGAAAGAACAGCTGAGGAGGCAAGCACGAGTCCCTCTGGATGTGAAGGTTCTCCTGGGATAGGATGCCCTATTAATAGGATGCAAGAACTGCAGAAATGAGGGCCATTCAGCTGAGCCCCATCAGAGCACAGACTGTCCGGTATGTACCGGACACTCCACCGGGGTGGGACCTCTGCTCTCTTTGCCCACCCACCTGCAGAGAGAAGGTTCCAGAACCAGCATACCACCAGGACAGGAAAAGGAGCAGCTTTTAGGTCTCTTGGGGTCTGGTCTTACAGTGGTATTTTTCATTTGATTCTTGTGACACGGGGTAGGTATTGTCATCTCCTCATTTTACAGATGAAGCCGTGGGCTGCCCCTTGGGAGGAGAGGATGCTCGCTGCCATGCTAGCTCTCCGCATGCCATCCTGCCTTACTCTTCACTCGGTGCCTTCTTGTGTGCCAACTCCGGGCACACATTCAGGAATGCCTGGAACACCTTTCTGCTGCCTGGGCTGTCAGCTCAGCCACCCCAGGAGCAGCTTGATGTCACCCTATTGCCCTGCCCTGCTCGAACACAATGTCCTTCCTCTGCCTTCCGACCTAGCTGGCCTCCTGCCCTGGCTATATTTAGGACTTTCTGTGTTCTTTACCACAAAAAGCATTCAATTATTTCTGTGGGTCTGGGGAGGGGGCAACTCAGAGATCTCACACACCTAAGGTGGAAGGCGGCTTTTCTCTAGGTACTTCTTGTTCCCATCCTCTCCCCTAGGTCATTCATACCCCACTCAGGTTTTGGGTGAAAAGCCCAGGTTATTAGAACATCATGGCTGGGGCCAGGCCTGGGAGGAGGATGGCGTATCACTCATTCCAAGAAAAAATTCCCCGGCCACTAGTGGTAAACAGTTAGTCGTCAATCATTCATCAGTGGCTCGCAACCAACCTCTTTTATTATTTTACCCTTTGTGAAGCCCATACTTCTAAGGTTTTACCTTCCCTCCAAATAAAGCATTATTAAGTAATGATTACATTCCTAGTTTTTAGGTAGTCAAAGATTCATCTAACACTTCTGATCAGCATGAAATAACCAGTTGCTATGCCGAAGGCAAAGAAACTTGATGCTTCATTTTCTGTAAGACCCCATGCATGATTTTAAGTTATCACAATAGCTTTAGGTCCCCCTTAAAATGGAAAACACTTTAGATATCATGTCATCCAGTCCCCTCATTTTTTAGACAAGAAAACGCTCATGATACAAGGTTACACAGTGGAACTTCTCAGGACAGCTGATGCATTGTTTTTCAGAGTTGGGGTCAGGGAGGAGCTATGAGTGGGTCAGGGTCCATCCTGCAGGGCCAGTTGAGGTCTGGGCTATGCCTGAGGCTCTCATAGACCCTTCCCCTGCCTGGCTTCCCAGGCCTGCTGTGCCCTGGCCCTAGGTCCCTGGGAACTGGGCTGCAGACCCACAGCATTGCTATCTTCTCCCATCCCAGCCTGATGACTGAATGCTGCTTTTTTCCCCAATGGGGTGGATTTTTCTCCTAAAACCCAAGGAGGTGACTTCCTTCCTTAATCTGAGTTGTTGGCATCATGTTCTCTACTGCTGACCTGCCTTCTGGTCTCTCAGTCTGAATTTCCAATTGACCGTGGTGTCACCGATGTGGTAAAGTTACTGTACCAGGGGAGGCGGGGAGGAACCTTAACTTTCTGAAAGTGACACCTGTGTCCCAGACATGTGTATGCAGGGGTTCCCCAGTTTCTTCTAACAGGCCCTGCTTCACAGGTGACCCGGCGCTTTGGGATCCCCGGGCTGAAGAAGACCATGGACTGGTTTGGCTACTATGGAGGCCCCTGCCGAGCCCCCTTGCAGGAGCTGAGCCCCACGGACGAGGAGGAGCTGCGTATGGATTTCAGCAGTAATGGCTGGCTCTGAGGGCAAGGAGAGGACCCGAACCCATCTCAGCTTCCTGCCTTGTACCTGCAGTCGAAGAGGCACATGGGGGTACGAGGCTTCAAAGCCTGTTTCCCTACTTCAGTCCTCCAGGTAGCCTCTCCCAGGCTCTGCCATGCATCCCCATTTCCTATTCTCACAGCCCCATGACTGCTGGCATTTGTATCCTAAACTGCTCTCTAGAGACCTTCAGTCTGGGAAGGAGCAATTGCTTGTCCTTCTACTGTGCCTTCCTGTGCCCTGGGATGTGACCAGGAGCTAGAGGGCAAGAGCAGGGGGGTACTGGGCACAAGTAAGGTCATGTATTTTACTGATGGGACGGCCGCTTAGACTTGGGGGTACACACCTGAGCCCAGCACAGTGCAGCGGGGAGCCAGAGCTATTCCTAAGAAACTGACTCCTTCCAGGGAAAGCAGTGGGTTCGGAAACCTAATCAGAAATGTCACTGGCCTTTGAAAGGCCCCCGAGCTGCATTCCAGACACAGTGCCCTTTCCTAAATCCATTTTGATTATCTCATATTCTCATCTCTAGCCTTGATCTCAACCGTAGAGAGCACAGAGCCGATCCAGGGGCTTGCCAGAGTTGGTAAATAATGACCCCTGGTGGATAAATGTTACATTCAAGGAGACTTCTAGCCAACCTAGGTCTGAGACATTAGGGAAGGAGACTTGGTCTAAGACCTGGCCATCCTCTTGCCTTAGGCACTGTGCTTTCATTGTTAAAAATAATACTTTGTTCTTGCAATAAAGCTGAATAAGTGAAAACAGTGTGGCCATGTACAAATTGACACCTCGCTGCCATGTAGGTCTCAGGTTTCCTGCCTAGATGTCAAGAACCTTCCTAGAGGCAATTTAACCTTCAAGGTCTGCTTTCTCCCAGCTCTGAGAGAGGCCCTAAGAGTCCACAGCAAACGAGGTATTAGATCAGTGGTGGCCTAGGGGAAAGGCTTATTGAAGTTCTGACTGGGAGGTAGAAGGCAAAAAGATTCAACTGAGATATTTAGAAACACTTTAGCACGTTAACCAAAAGGGCTGCTTTCTCAAAAAATGTTTAACCTTACTCAGTGATACTTGACTAGTGGCAGTAAACCACTGCCACTAGTCAAGTATTTTAAAACATTCAAGATGAATGTTTTAAAAATTACTCTGGCTAAAAAGAAAGGTAAACAGATCCTTGTTTAGGACAAAGCCTAGAGAAGAGACTATAAAAGGTATCAATCTTCAACCGAAATTGGCCATCTGGATGGTACTGAAGCTTGGGGCTTAGCACCTGGGCTCTTCTCACAAGGCAACGTCCAGAAGATCTGGGCTCAGAGGAGAATCCAGCTTAGTTATGGGGCAGAATTTAGGGCTCGGGAGGCTGGTCGGTGTACTGGTAAAGCACTCAGCCTCTGGGCTTAAATTAAGCAGGCCTGGGTTTAAGTTCTTAGATCTGCCCCTTAGGGTCGATGGGACCTTGGGCAACTACTTAAGTGCCTGATCCGATCTGTAATTTGGGGATAGTAACAGTTCCTTTCTCTCAGGGCTCCATAAGATCACACATGTGAAGGGGTTAGCGTGGCAGGTGAACACTGCACATTAGCTCAGTTGGGGAGGTACTGTTGCAGAAAAAGGGAAACCCAGGCAGGAGTTGACTTGCCCAAGGTTACCTAGGAGGTGTGACAATAACTGGTCTCAGGATGTGGGCACTCTGGACACTCAGGACAAAAGAAGTACAGTGGCAAGTGATTTGGAATCAGAAAAACCAGGATACAAATCCCACCCAGCTCTGCCACTTCCTAGTTTGGGCAACCTGAGCCTGTCTGATTTAAAAGGAAAAAAAAAGCTCCTGCCTTGCAGAGGTTTTGAGAATTAGGTACTACATAGTAAAGTGTGCAGTGTCAGTTCCAAGCCCCCATCTGTGATGAACTTTTAGAAACAGCAAATGGGTTGATCCATGATGAGGATGCAGAGCAAGAGTCAAGAAACGAAGTATACGCAGTTCTGGTGATTTGTTTATTCCTCATAAACACTTGTTTCTACAGTACAACTCAGAAAATAAATAGAGGCACACGGCTATAATTTCCACCACAATCTGCTGTTGAGACATTCAGTGTGAGGATAAGGGGCTGGGAGTGGAGTGGGCATGTCTGGGTTCTGGGATAACTGGAGGCCTCCGTGATGAACTACGCAGGGATCCTATCCATCCAGATCTGACCCCCAGGCCTGAAGGCCAAGCTCGTGGTGGAAGAGTTAACAGGAAACCAAATGTAAGGAGCCAAACTCTCTTTTGGTTCACTTCGGTCCTAGGATGGGTCCAATTCTCCCCAAGCTCCAAGGGGTTGAGGTGGGTCTGACCTACAGGTCCGCTGGGAAGGGGCTGTGTCAGCCCAACCCACCCCTAAGAATTCAGTCACTCCATGGTAGGGCCTTAAGTGGCCCAGAGATGTTTGTCCTCTGCCCCGGAGTAAGTAACAAATACACGTTATGAGATGACTCCTTGTATCAGTTTCTTGACTAGCCCCAAAAGGGATCCTGTCCTGTGTCTAAGGAAGGAGAGAGGCACAAATGGGGCAAAAATTAGCTGCTGGACCTCAGGTAAGGAAGAGAGCTTGTACAGTCAGGGGAGAGGGAAATCGCACTCTTACCGTACCCTTCACAGGGGGACAAGCAGACACAAATACCAGCTTGGGGAGACAAAGTGGAAGGCCCGGAGCCATGAAGCCAACCAGCAGCCAATGAGGGGGTGACACACGGAAACGCTCTGGCTTTGACTTTCACAGGCCTGCGGAGCTGTCTAAGCCACCCCTGTGTTTCTCCCTGTTTCTCCAGGGTAGCACAAAGCACTAGCCCTAACCTGGGGCCAGGATCATCTGCCCCCAGTACAGGCAGAATGAAGAGATCCTGCCTCCATTGGCAGGAAATCGAGTAGAAGCAGGTCTGCACTGGGCGACCCGAGGCGTTAGGGACAAAGAATACCAACCAGGGAGAGAGGCAGAGACGGAACTGGTGACCCTGCTGTGGGCCGGGGGTCAGAATCCTCACGACCTTCGTCATTGAATCCCCACCGGGCAGGTGAGGGGGCATGTCTCCAGGCCTCTGCTCCGTAGGCATTCTCATCTCCTCTCCCATCTGGTTCATGGATTCACCTTGAGGGCGCCACGGGGCCTGCGCTTTGGCCCGTGCTTGGGAGCGGGTGCCCGACGTCCGTCAGGCGGTGAGACTTCTGGCCGACTTGGAGGCGCTCTGGGCCCGCTGCACGACTGCGGAGCACTTCTCACGCCGCAGCAGCTTGTTGTTCTCAAACAGCCCTTCGTTGCGGGGTATTCCGTGAGAACCATCAGGGAAGGTCAGCAGGCCTTTGAGGGGGACAGAGGAAATACGGGACTGACAAGGGCGTGCGTGACTCAGAAAGCAGCTAGGTACCACGGGGCGGCAGGAAGGAAAGCCTGCAGCTCTTACTCCTGAGAGCGGGAGCACTGGACGGGCAAGTTCGACAGACTGGCGTCAGGGCCTGGTCGCTAGGGATTGGTAGACATCCCCGAAAGCATCCAAGCTAACAAGGTGTACTCCCCCCGCCTAGTATGCTCCCTCCGGTCGCCTGTCCTGCGGGGCTGTGACTTACCAAAACCGTCTACTCTGCCATTTTTAAATTCCCCTTCAAATGTCATGTTGTCATGTCGAATGAAGACTCCGACGCCATTAAACTTGCCCTGGGCGAACTCCCCCTCATACCTGTAGAAACATGAGATGGGAGCGGCAGGGTGGGTAGCGAGCTACGGAGGTTCACTGTGAAGCAGCTACCAGTGAGTGTTACTTATTAACGCCAAGGAGCTGAGCGCATTCTGCTTGTGTTAGAATCCCTGCCCCCACCCACCCACTCCCAACCGGCAGAGGAGGGCCAGAGAGCATGTGTGATATGGGGCTCTAATCTCAAGGAGGTGACACAAGAGAATGGCAGTCGTGTGGAAGGTCACTCGGCTCCTTGCCATTTCAAATTTTAGATCTACTTATAAAGTAACTAATAAAAGAACTGCTTACTTCTTGCCTGTTTTCAGAGGGCCTGGGCCAAGCTCAGGTCTGACCAGCTATTTATCACTATCAAAGCTGAGAAAGGAATGACCCAGGACTTACCTTGAGCCATCGGAGAAGGTCAGTACCCCGAAGCCATTAAAGAGCCCATTCTCAAAATGACCCAGGTAGATGCCACCATCTGCAAACATCAGTTGACCAAAACCATGTCTGCGGCCTGAGCAAAGAGAAAGACAGTTGTCAGGTTGGGATGGGGCAGCTTCAGGGACCCCCTGGCTGCCTAACATCCCTTGTCTTTCGTCACCCAACGTGCAAAGCAAAGAAGAGAAGCAGTGATGTCAGCTGGGCAGAGAACTACTACCCAGAGTCAGGCACCAGGAAAACCCGGCTCCTGGGACCTTCCCACCTGTCACAAGCATCAGCTGTGGAGCAGGTCTCTGTCGGTATGAATAAGAGAGCGCTGTAAAGTAACACTAGCTACCAGAGCGCCCTCACTATGTGTCAGGCACTCTTCTGAGCACTTTGTACTGATCATCCTATCTAATCCTCACGACGTTAAGAGGTAGGCACAGTACTATTATTATTCCCGTTTCACAGATGCAGAAAGCAAGGCTAGGAGAAGCTAAAACACTTACGACCACTGTTGAGTGGCAGAGCAAGAATGAAAAACGCAGCAGGCATCCTGGCCGGAGAGAGCCCTCACCACTTACTTCCGTTGCCTCTCTGCGAGAAAACAGTGCCACACGGAACTGTGCAGCTAGGGAGCAAACCTACCAGGCTGCCTGGCAACACTGATTCGGGCTTTGTTCCATCAGTAGGGCTGTGCTTACCCATCGAACTGATCAGAAAACAGCAAGACGCGGGAGGAGCATCATGTCTTTCTAACAGAGTATGAGGGAGCTCTTCCCGGGGATAGAGACCGCCTGGCAGAATGGCACCTCTAACTGGCCAGATTTGAGGGGACAGCAGGTGTTGGGGAGGCAGGAGAAAGGCAGGGGAGGTACCGAGCAAGGTCACATCCCATCTGCCCAGTTTCTCCTCTCAGGGCTCAAGAATTCATGAGCTGTAGGGATCTAACATGAAAAGAATGGGGTGAATGTTGAAATGGTCTACACTTCTCTTCACTGGCACAATGGTAGGAAGTCAAGGCGCCTCGGGGCAGTTTGTGGCTTGCTAGGATTGGCCCCACGAGGCTTTTAAGTGGTCAGACTGTGTTTCTCAGGCTCTGAAGAATTTCACCAATCCTGTGACTAGATACTTCCAAATGCAATGAGCTGTCACAGGAAATTCAAGGCAATGACTGTCATTCGCTCTTGAGTATCTATCTGTCCTAATTTCCAGATCTTCCTTAACTTTAAATTCATTGGAACCAAGTCATTGCAATGAATTCTGTACTTTCCAGTTTATAGGCACTCAAAATAATTCATTTTACTCTGCCTGGTACATGAGTATTTATAAAAAACAATTCCCAAATAATAACACAAAAGGATAAGATGTTAAGACACCTCATATTCTGAAGCAGAAAGATTTAACTCATTGCTGGAGATTGGGCAACCAATGGCATTTTCTAATTCCTTTATTTAATCCTAAAATCAAAGAAAAGGAAAGGCACTATTACTATTCAGATTAAATCCTAGAATTAGACATGAAGACTCATCCAGTTGAATTCTATAGCCTGCTGTATTTGTCCTACAGCCAAATGATCCCCGGTTGGGGGGGGTTCTCTCACCTTCCTTCCACTCGCCTCGATATTCTTCCCCACTGGAGTAGGTGAAGGAACCTTTTGTCAGGGTCATGGTGACAGCGTACGGAAGAAAAGGATAACGACTGCAGGAAACAGGGGAGAGAACCAGAGTCACAGGATGGCTGGAGGAAAGGCCTGCAAACCAATTTTGCTGATACAGTCTATCAACTAACCAGCTCAGTAAGTATGTATTACCTTGGATACATTTAACAAACATACTCACTTCTCCAATCCCCCACCCCCACCCTCATCATCACCACCTCTGTTCAAGCAGTCTTATCCTCTTACAGGTTTTAAAAGTTCTCAGCCTGGGGCGCCTGGATGGCACAGTCGGTTAAGCGTCCGACTCTTGGTTTTAGCTCAGGTCGTGAGCTCAGGGTCTTGGGATCACTCAGCACAGAGTCTGCTTGGGATTCTCTCTCTCCTTCTGCCCACCCCCCCAACTCATGCTGTTTCTATCTCTCTCAAATAAATAAATAAAATCTTAAAAAAAAAAAAGTTATCAGCTAGTTCCAATTTTCTATGACGTGGGATAGAAACTGAGGATTAATCTACAAATATTTGCTCGATAGCTACTATGTGTTTAGTTGATGTATAAAATATAGTCTCTTCCTTCAATGAGTTTACAGTCTAGCTGGTAAGACTAATAATGGAAAGACAGAACAATATGAGAGATAATGTCATTAAGTGCCAAACTGGATGGCAGAGATGAACAGAGACAAGGGCTGAGCACAACTGAAAACAAGCGGTCAAGAAAGCAAAAGGCAGTTACCCGTGGAGAAAACCTGGGGAATGAAAGCACAAAGAGCTATGTAAGCTGGATGTTCAGTGGGAAACTAATAAGCTGGGTTTTACTGCAGTGGAAGGTTTATTTAAGGAGTATAGGAATTAAGTTTGTCCAGGTACTCAGCAGAAATCTGAAATCTGAAAAAAAACCTCTCAGATTTAAATCCAAATTCCGTCATTTCATAAACGGAGAAAGAGAAGTGAAGAGCTAGTCTGTGGCCGGGCTGGACTAGTGTCCCGGCCTCCTCTGACTGCTGCTAGTTCTTTCTCTCTTGTATTGTACGCTCTGCTTTTTGGGTCCAGCTACTCTAAGGAGACCTTGGAAAGCTAGGCAGAAGAGTTTACAGCTAATAAGGAGGGGGAAAGACGAAGGCTCTGGGGGCTTATGAACAGGCACATAATATGAAAGCAGTGCTTATGGAAAATGAACGTGGCAGCAGGAAACAGGATGCTTTGTAGCAGCAAAGCCCACAACCAGAAAAGCTTGCAAGGCAGGAGATGTGATCATTCAGGAGACTGTGAAAATGAGCACAAATCGCTCTCCCTCTGCTCATGCCCTTATGATGACACGGAAGCACCTCCATTAACAGTCACTTTATTCCCCCACCCGCTGGGTCTGGGTGGGTAGAGGTTTGGAAAATGCTCGTCCACATGGGGCTTGCCCTCTCACTACACTTGGAACTGTCCTGCCCCCCTGTGGACAAGCCCGGGCGAGTTGGCTGGTGACGAGGGGTCATGTGGAGCTGCTGTCCCAACTGCCCACAGATGCATGGGTGAGCTCAGGCATGACCAGCAGAGCTGCTCCTGAGCCCATTACTGAGCCACAGAATGAGGGACTAAATACATGGTGGTTGTTTTAAGCCACTATGTTTTGAGGTGGTGTGTTATTACCCAGCAAAAGCTAACTGATAGCCCCAGGTACAAGATCGTGAGGCCTGAACTAAGGGGATAACAGCGTAATGGGAGCAGAAGGAAGGAGTGGTGATGACAGAGATATTATAGAAAAACAAACACCCGGTAACATTTGGAGACTGGCTAGGTATGGCTTCACGTGTGCAGTAAAAGAATGCTTGTATTCAAAGATATCCTAGGGGCGCCTGGGTGGCTCAGTCGTTAAGCGTCTGCCTTCGGCTCAGGTCATGATCCCAGCGTCCTGGGATCGAGTCCCACATCGGGCTCCTTGCTCCGCGGGAAGCCTGCTTCTCCCTCTCCCACTACCCCTGCTTGTGTTCCCTCTCTCGCTGTGTCTCTCTCTGTCAAATAAATAAAATCTTAAAAAAAAAAAAAGATATCCTATAAGAAGGGGGTTAAGATACCTAAAATATCATTAAATACGAACAGAGACAAATAAGCATTTGACATATTTTTACAAGTGCAATCCCTACTTCTTATTTAATTTCTAGGTCTGTTTACTCACCTCTTCATCTTTTCCAGATCTAAGCAATACAACATTTTTGCAAGTGACTGTGACAACGCAGAGTCCTAGGCCCACACCCAGATCTACTGAATCAGATTCTGTAAGTTAGAGCCAGGGAATCTGCAGTTTTAACAAGCACATCGTTGGATTGTTACACACTTGAAAGCGTGGGGACTACTACTCCAATAAACAGATAAACTATGTGTGAAAGTTCTCTGATCTATAAATCACTATTGAAAGGTCCCCTGTTATTAATAATGAACCTAAAGGGGGGCACCTGGGTGGCTCAGTGGGTTAAGCATCTGCCTTCAGCTCAGGTCATGATCCCAGGGTCCTGGGATCGAGCCCCGCATCAGGCTCCCTGCAGCAGGAGCTTCTCCCCTCTCCCCCCTGCTCATCCATTCACTCACTCACTCTCTCCATCGTTATTTCTAAAAGATTTTTTATTTATTTGACAGAGAGAGACACAGCGAGAGAGGGGACACAAGCAGGAGGAGTGGGAGAGGGAGAAGCAGGCTTCCCGCTGAGCAGGGAACCTGACGCGGGGCTCGATCCCAGGACCCTGGAACCATGACCTGAGCTGAAGGCAGACGCTTAACGACTGAGTCACCCAGGAGCCCCAAATAACTAACATCTTAAAAAAAAAATGAACCTAGAGGGGTGCCTAGATGGCTCAGTCAGTTAAGCGTCTGCCTTTGACTCAGATCATGATCCCAGGGTCCTGGGATGGAACCCTGCATCTGGGCTCCCTGCTCATCCGGGAGTCTGCTTCTCTCTCTCCCTCTCCCTCTGCCCCTCCCTGTTCCCTTGTGCACTCTCTCTCTCTCAAATAAATAAAATCTTAAAAAAAAAAAAAATGAACCTAGAGTCTAACCCTCAAGCATCTGATTGAGTTCCAATAGGACAAGTGCACCTCTTCTTCAGAGCATGTGGGCCAGGCCTGGAGGACCAAATTGGAGTGGATTTTTAAATCCCTGCGGCCTGATGCCAACAGCCAGCTTTCTTCAAGTCCCAGAGAAGCCCAAATCACACACAATGTTAACGGTTGTATTGCTGTTTCCATTATGGAACAACAAGATGGGCTTACAAAGAGTAGGTTCCTCAGTACAAGAGGGATCTGGCACATTTGATACTAAAACGATGCTTTAAATGTTCAACTAAAACAAGATGTACATTAGTTTGTATTCTCCAAATTGTGATGGTAGATGGGGCTGGGTTATTCATACTCCAGGTCAGCCAACACAATGCTCTGGAATCAACTGAGCTAACCCCAGAGAAGCTATTTGAAGTATCTTTACAACAGCAACTAACAGGAATTGACTCCTTACTGTGTGCTATAGTGTTTTTTAAATACATAATCTAATTTCAGCTCACAGCTTTATGAGGTGGGTAGTACTATCATTTCCACTTTATGGATGAGGGAACTGAGGAGTAGAGAGGGTAAGTAAGTTCACCAAGGAACCCTAGCTAACATGTGGAAGTTAGAAGCAGAGACTTGGGGGTCGGCCTCTGGGGCCCATGCTCCTAAACCCCATCCTGTCTTCCTATCCCACATGCCTCCCAGTGTAATAGAGTGGCATGTGGGCCCAGGAGCGCCAATACCGGGGCTCCCACCCCAGTGCACTGTGTAACTTCGGGAAGGTTACTTAAATGCCTCTAAACCTTGGTCTCCTCCCCTGTAAAGTACAGAAAATATACCTACTTCAGAGAATTGGCATGGATTAAATTAAATAAGATACATTGGGGTGCCTGGATCACTCAGTCGGTTAAGTGTCTGCCTTGGCTCTGGTCATGATCTCAGGGTCCTGGGATCGAGCCCCACTTCAGGCTCCCTGCTCAGTGGAAGCCTGCTTCTCCCTCTCCCTTTGCTGCTCCCTCTGCTTGTTCTCTCTGTCAGTTAAATAAATAAAATCTTAAAAAATAAATTAAATAAGATACATGAAAGTACCTAGAACACCACCAGGCCCTGTCTCTTAAATATTATTCTTTTCCTCCTTCCAAAATAGACACCTCAACTCACACATTCACTTACTGTAATGGAAATTTCTCTAAAGTCTCAGTATAAAAATGCTACCAATATAATTAAAATAACATTTGGAAAAAAATTCAGCAATTTTGCCTGAGGTAAATTCTAAGGTGAGAAAAAGTAAACTGCAATTGCCACTTGTCTGTTCTTTATGGCCATCCCATGGGATGTTTTAATTTTGGCCTATGTCATGATGCTTTTGGACAGAGATGCTGTAAGCCCAGAAATGGTCTGAGGTGCAAACAGCTGGCCCTGAACAGAGCGGGGCTCAATCACATCTTCTGGGCCCTGGCCCTGTCTCAAAGCTCTCGTTTCCTCCCAGCTTTGAGGACAGATGAATCCTGAGAATCCCTGGCTCTCACCCAAACAGGGAGCAACATTCGTTTCTACCCCCATAATGAGGCCAGCTTGGGAAGCTCTTCCAGTGATGTCTGGGAGCCCCTCCCACAGCTCCACCAGGGATTTTCTCGCTGTTGCTACTCGGGAGCTCCATGCCCAGGTTCTCTCACATAGCAGAAGATGTCCCGAGGCAGGGATCATTTTCTTCTTGTCTTAAAGCCCCTAGAAAGCTCTGGGGCTATGTTCTCTGATGGGTGACGCTGGTACCTGGTGTGCCATCTCTGCTCCACCAATGTTCCACAAGGTCAGCATCCAAGTTCAGGCTCAAGCCCCTTGTTGTCAGCCCAGCATCAGTGTGCCTGGGGTAGAGGTCAGCATGACTCCACTGCAAATACAACATTAATGAGGGGAAGAGAAGCAGTTTTCCATCGAAACTGCAGAGGAAAACTCTTTCCAGTCCAGAGAAGCTTTGACAACTACAGGCCGTCTTCAGCTCTTTCCAGAACTAATGAAGTCGGCATACTAAAAGTCAGCTTATGGAACAAATCTGAAATATGTCATTCCTTCAAAACAAGTCAGAATCTTAAAGGCCGTGTCTTATAATAAATCTTATCACTAAACAACCATTCCAAAACATAAATACAGAATCATGATTTATGCAGGGAGATGATAAGATAAGAGCATTTCCTTTTGATGTCTGGCAGCTGTAAACTTGTCTTCACTCCGAGGTCTGGAAGGAGTTACTGTGGTGCCTTGTGAGGAGTCAGTCTGACTGCCCAGGGGCTCAGAGGCAGCAGACTCCAGCATCTGTTTACTTTTTCTCAAGGCTATGTGAAACTTCCACACAGTGGTATCCCACTTGTTTCAGAGGGACCAACAGAAGGTCCCTGAAAGAAAGGGAATGGCGTTTCTCCAGTTTGAAGACTATCTTTGGACAAAGTACTAGTCAGCCCCTCAAACTGTAAACCTAGCCACTCTTTTGGTATGCTGTTACTCTGAGGGAATAGATCCTAAAGTTTTTAAAGATGCCAATGAACCTGAAAAGATCATCCTCTAATTACCAAATGTGGCGGATTGTAATTTCCAAAGACATTTGCAGTCTTACCTCCGGTATTACGCGTTCTATAATTTGACCTTGCCATTGCCCCATCAAAAGGTGGAGTCTAACTCCTCTTCTTTGAATCGGGGCAGGCTTGTGATTGCTTCAACCGATAGAACACGATGGAAGAGATGGTGTGTTCCGAGGTCAGATCAGAAAAGGTGATGCATCTTCCCTCTTGCTCACTGGTACGCTTGCACTTGGAGACCTGAGCCACCACAGAGGAAGTCTTACTACAGTGGGGCTACCGTGCTATGAGGAAGCTGAGCTACAAAGAGCCACATGTGTTGGTGCTCCAGTTGGCAATTCTCATCTTTGAATCAGCCTACCCCAGGCACCAGCTGTGAGCAAAGGAGCCTGCAGATGATTCTAGCTCCCAGCCACTGAGTCAGCATCCCATCTAAGGTAGCATGGAGCAGAGCGAGGTCATCCCCATGATGCCCTTTACAAATTCCTGATTCACAGAATCTGTGAGCATCACTCGGTTGTTTTAAGCAGCTAAGGTTGGGGTATAATGTTATACAGCTATAGTAACTGGAACATCATCTCTCCGCCTAACCCTGCCACCTCCTCTCTCATTTGTTTTTCCAAAAGTACATTTCCATTCCTTTCTTTATCTAGGGAGACAGAGCAAACTCCCTTCAACAGTTGCTGGTCAACATGATGTCCATTCCCAAGAACACAATCGGAAGTGCTAACTAAAGGACACACGTGGACTCTATGGGTCTCAGGCCATGGTTGAACACATTTGACTAGAAACTTGTACCTATGTCCAAATAATTGATACTGTCATCGCCTGGGACAGTGATTTTCGTTTATGACTTCTATAATTAGCCATGCTAAGTAATTGTCAGCTGTAGAGCCACTGACCCAAAAAGAAATCATGGTCACGGAGACAAATCTAGTTTAATACAGGATAGCCAGCGCTGATGAAGACTGAAAACCCAACACTTTAAGAAGGATGCAAATCAGTATTTATATCAGTTACCCAAAAAATCTTCTTAAAGAGAACACGTAGCCTAGGAATTTAGGCTTCAGCATACATATGGAATCTAGTCACAAAACCAAGAAGATTCAGGCTTTTAAACAGATACCCACCCTTTCTGCTCTTTTGATAAATGGGTTGCAAATGATCAATCCAAACATTTATCTAAAAGAAAATGACTTTGGGTGCCTGGGTGGCTCAGTTGGTTGGGCGACTGCCTTCGGCTCAGGTCATGATCCTGGAGTCCCAGGATCGAGTCCCGCATCGGGCTCCCTGCTCGGCAGGGAGTCTGCTTCTCCCTCTGACCCTCCTCCCTCTCATGCTGTCTCTCATTCTCTCTCTCTCAAATAAATAAATAAAATCTTTTAAAAAAAAAAATAAATAAATAAAAGAAAAGAAAATGACTTTTGTCCCTGAACCGAATATACTATTGGTCTGCGCAACAGACTACATCCCTGCCATCTTTATTTTCTCCTCACCCAGACATTTCCAAATAGAACTTGGAGACAGGAATGTTAACTTCTGTTTCCATTCCATTTGTCTTTTTTTAGAGTTTAGAAATCAAACTTGCTACAAAATATTTATGCATTCAAGATGTCTTCTGTTCAAATTCAGATTAAAAACAACAACAACAAAAAAGCTAACATAAAGAGGAACAGATTTTCACTTTAAGAATATTGCTTTGAGGCAGCCAGCTTTCCCTACATATACCTTTACATTGTTCCTCCAAAGCCTCCCCAGAGTATGACCGTCTTGTCAAAGTTCTCTTAATTATAAAGAAAGCAGTCTTAGGCTTTTAGAATCCTAAAGAGAAGAAAAGGAAGACTTTGGTGAACAAAAATTAGGCTTGTAAGAAACCTAGAACAAAAAGTCACACATTCCTTTTAAAGTGTTTTAAATGAGCTTGAAATAACTGTTTTTCTTGTAAGTCTACAAGTCTTTTTACTATAAGTCTTCCTTGAACTCGAAAAGTAAAAAAAAAAAAATGTTTTGCTACCAGATAAAGGTCTTATTTAGGAAGACTGGTCTTATTTAGGAAGACTGGGACAGATTGAAGAAATTGGGAAGAAAATCCTGACACCAGAAAGATGAAAAAAAAAAAAAAAGACTTGAGGGTGATGAGGACTGCCATCCTATTTCATGAAAAAGGAAATGCCTGGACCGAGTTCTAATAAAGCCGAGCTACTCCTGCGGATACCTAAGCAGTTTGGAGATGCTACGCAGCAGGCGTGCCACCATCCACTAATTGAGGCATCCCATTCCCCAAGCCTCGTTGTGTGGGACGTCTCTCCACCAGAGTGTGAGAGGCGGGCCCAGGCCAAACAAAGCCCTAGACCCAACTAACATTTCCTAGTCGATCTCCCACCCCGTTCTTGCATCCCAGCACCGATCTTTCCCTCTACCCGAGCTCCGCTCTACCGCCTGGGCCAGGTCTCTGCTCACACTGGTCTGCCATCCCCTCCGGACGCAGCCCCCACCCACCCGCTCGCCAAGCCGGGTACCGTGGGCTCTCCCTGGCCTCGACCCCAGCGGTAGAGACCGGAGGCCCGGGTTCGGCACCCCACCGGCCCCGCCCTCTGGTCAGCGCGTCCTGGATGGAGTCACGATCCCCAGCCAGTCATCTCGGGATGGGCTCCTCAGTCCCTTCCTCACCAACCACACTCTCCTGGCCCCCTCCCTCCTGCGCTGCCGGCCAACCTGAGCTCCGCCTTTCGGGATGACAATCACGCCCAGACGCGGGGTTCCAGCGGCCGGGACGGCGCCTCCGCCGGGCTCGCCCCTGCCACCAGCCTCTCCCAACACCTCCACCAGCGCCTGCCCGACTTGACGCCGCCATCCCGGGCGGCCGCACTGGGCGCAATTCCCGCTGCCCATTGGCTGTAACCTAGGCAACCGGGAGCAACGCCACTTTCCATTGGCCCAGCGCGGACTCTGCGCCATCTTTGTGCGGGGCGGAGTGTCTCAAGAGCTCGGGTCAAACATCCGAGAGAGGGGTGGGGCTGAACCCACGGTCCTACCTCCGCCACCTGATGGAGAGAGACCTTAGGTCTCGTCTACCCAGAGACAGCCTAGCCTAAACGTCGACAAAAACAAAACCAAACCTGGGTCAGAAACAACAGTGACCACCAATTCAAGCGGCTCGGATCCTGCGCGGACCTTCAGAGATGTAAATGGCTCCTCCCTGGAGTTTGAGGACAGAACCCAAACCTGGCTTTTGAGTTTCAGCTTTGTAAATTGTAACATGCTGGACCAGGCAGCTGCGGTTTAATGTGTGTCAGCCCCGTGCCAGCACTGTGATACCAGGACACTTCCGCATTCACTCATTGTAAGGATTTGTGTTGTTGTCATTACTCAGATCTTTTGTGTTTAAAATACAGTGTCAAGATTGGAGCAAATTCTCCAAATATCGTGCACGCCAATCCTTTTATCCACATGTTTATTTACTGACCAATGTGAATGCAGCTAGAAAAGACGTGATCGCTGCCCTCATGGGACTTACTGCCTAGATGTGGAGAAGAAAAGATTCATGCCCATGGAAAAATTCAAGACTATATTTAATTATTAAAAGAAGGCAAGTGCATGAAGAGAGTAAACAAACTGCTTCTCTGATTTGGGCGTTTCCTCATCTGTGGAATAGAAAATGAAAATAATAATAATGATAAAGACTCCCCAGCACTTGTATGAGAATACAGTGTAAAATGCTCAGTACTGTGTCTGTGACATTGTAAGTGCTCCATAAACAGCAGTTTACATGGTTTTAAAAGACTTGGATTCTGTGTTCAAATCCCATGTCTGCCACCAAGTGTGTGTGACTTCAAGCAAGTTATTAAGTTCTCCAGTCTGTAAAATGAGATTGGACTAGCAAACCTGTAAGATTCAACCAGCTCTAACACTCAATGGTTAAGCCTGCTAAACTATGTGGTAGTGACTATAAATATAAATACAATTGTTGAGAGAATGGCATGTCAAGAAAACAGATCTTATTAGATTAGAGAAAGTATATTAGAAAATTTGATTAAATAAGGTTAAATAGATTGTGGTTAAGTTATGGAGAAACCTGAAAAATTAGGGGGAAGATATGGTTTGCAAAATGTAGTGTTTTGAATGGGCAAATTCATAGACACAGAAAGTTGAAGTTACCAGGAGCTAGAGAAAGAGGGAGTTATTGTTTAATGGATACAGAGTTTTTGTTGGGATGATTAAAATGTTTTGGGTATAGGCAGTGGTGATGGTTATGCAACATTGTGAATGTATTTAATGTTACTGACCTGTACACTTGGGAATGGTTAAAATGATAAATATGCATATTTTACTGCAATAAAAAATGTAGTTTCTTAATCAGAGCAGTGACACCAGGAAACCAGTGTTTTAAGAAAATTAATCTGGTAGTGATGCTCAGAGATAACCAGAGAGATTGGAAGCAGAGAAACAAACTCACAAGCTATTTTAATAACGTAGCTAAGATATATTGAGAGTCTCAAAAGTAAATGGCATCAGTAAAAATGGAAAGAAAGGGGGTACATGCTGATTTAGGAAAGATGTTGGGGTTCAGAGGCAATGGCCAAGAAAGAATTTCTGAGATATACTCAGTGCAAAAAGGTGGTTTTATTAAAGCATGGGGACAGAGCACAGGGACAGGACCTGTGGGCAGAAAGAGCTGCACCGGGGTCATGAGGAATGGCTGGTTATATACTTTCAAGTTGGGAGGGGGCTAGGGATAGCGTAAGTCTCTAAGGAATTATGGAAGCAAGATTTCCAAGACTTCGAGGGGGTTAGCTATTGTTAGGAAAAGGTCATTTATTACTGTCTAATAAAATCTTAGTCATGAGACCCTTCAGATGTATATTGGTAGGTCATATGCTTGGGGGATGATTGCCAACTGATATCTTGGGGGGTAGATATAAAGGAAGTTTCTAAAGGAATGTTTATATGTTAAAGTAGACTTATAGGATGGCGGGGGGCGGGAGGCGTTGTTGGGATAATGTTAAGCTAAGCCTTTTGCCCTTAGCAAAATATTAACGTCAGGACAGCTGAGTTCCTAGAGGAATGTCACTCTGCCTGTTTTAAGGACTTGTCAGTGGGCTGTAAGTAGTAAGGAAATTTAATTTTTCTTTTGCCTTTGCTTCACACATCACATATAAAACACATCTCATAGAGATATTTAATAAGAGGCAATATAGTGTTAAAAGCATTGAGCTGGTCTCCCTGGATTTGGATCCAGCTCTGCCACTTACCAGCTGCATGACCATAGGCAAGTTACTTTACTCAGTTTCCAACATCATAAGAGCTGTAATGCCATTTACATGTAATCCAGTTATATCCATGTACTTTACATGAAACAATGTCTGGTACGTGCTTAGTTATTTGGTGAGTGCTAGCTCTTCATAGGTAATAGGGAATGTATTGACACTTTTTTTTCAGTAGAAGGAAAATCAAGTTCTAAGGGGTAGAATCAAAAATAAATTTTGAGAATTTTCCACAGAGTTCTCAAGGGAGAACTCTAAATCTTGCAGCTTTCCTTGACAAAAATTTGAAGCTTATGCGCTAGATGAGACGAATAATTCCAAGAGATCATCTCTGTGGATGTGATCCCTGGGATGCAAGAGGCAAGTATTACTGAATTATTCGATGTCTGGATAAGAAAGGGAAATACATGTCTTCTAACTGAAAGAGGAAACTGTATGGATCTTTGCCTAAGATGGTTTATGTGGCAAAAAATGTTTAAGACATTCTCACACATACAATTAAACAATAGTTGTTTTTTTTTTTTTTTTAAAGATTTTATTTATTTATTTGACAGAGACACAGTGAGAGAGGGAACACAAGCAGGGGGAGTGGGAGAGGGAGAAGCAG